AATCAAATAAGAACTGTCTCATAGTATAATATGCAAGTTGCTCCAAATGCAGACAAGGGGAAATCCAGGTCTTGTTCGCATAAGCCTGCCTGGTATTAGCGTTTAATGCCATTTTCTGGTTCTTGTGTTTTGTTTTTCCTTTAAATGTAACATCCCTTCCCAGGATAGAAAGGAATTATCCCATCCTTTGATAAACTGTGAGGACGTCATGACCCACAATAATAGATTTAAAATCTAACAATATTCTGGAAGCCAATAAGTGAGCTGGGATGGACTGATTACCATTTTCTTTTGGCTTTTTTGTAATTATCACTATTAATTTTAAAATTAGGCTCACGAATCACTAACTGAAACAAAATTATAAAAATGAACATACATTAAGATCATGTTTTAAATAATTCATCTATAATTACCATATCACTTCTGATATAAAATGAGTATTCTGTATCATATGCTGACTTGAAATTTATTTTATATTTTTCTCAATCAACCTAAAAGTTAAAGATCACTCATTCTTACTAATATTAACACACACACACACACATACACACACACAAAACAAGATGACAATGGTGATTTTTTAACATGGACCAAAAAAATGACAGAAAATAAGCCATGCATATCACAAAACACCATGTAAGCTATATTATAGGAGAGCTGTAAACTTCAGGCTAGGAAAATCTGCAGTAGGGTTTGGCTTCCCTATATTGGGGAGCATTAAGGTTAAATTAATGAAAAAGGCAGTTTTGCTCTGCCCATCAAAGTGGAAAAACATTTACACAAGAGAAGGTAAAGGGCAGGGCGTTTCCAGCCAGAGAAGTGGTGGGACCAAAGTCATGGAGGTAGAAGGCTATGGGGCATGGCTGGACAGAGGCAGGGGGTCTCATTCTGAGGGATTATTTCATAGACAGAGACAGATAAGACAAGATTTGTACTAAAGGATACGAAGCTTATTTAGTAGGTAATTGAGAGCCTCTAAGCATTTTTCTTCTTTATAACTTGTATGAATTTGTGTATTTTGATCAGTTTCCCTTTTATTTCCCCTCTCTCCATTAGAGTACAGACAGATAATTTATTATTCCTAGTTAACTTTATAATTTGGTCCATATGCTGCAGAGTATTCAAGCTTGATTATGAGCAACAAGAGAACTGGCCATCATGCAGGCCTGGATGATGTGGAGATGAGATATGAGAGCATAACCTAGGGGACCCTGAAGCATGGGCTTGGTCAAGGGTATGCTTCCAACTAGCAATTTTAATTCTGACGTAGTGACACAGGGACTGTTAGAGATCATTCAGAGTGATGACAGGGGAGTAGATAGACCAGTTTCCAAAGCAAGTATTCAAAGACTGTGGAATTAGCCAGTTTTACCCTCTGATGTACTTCATCTCACTTGCTTCCCACTCATTTTTCTGAGTTAGATTCTCAGCATTCCATTTAATTTTTGGAACTATCCAAAATCCTTTCAACAAACTTAGTTTCGACTTAAGTTAGCTCAAGTCAGATTCTGTTGCTTGAAAAAAAATTTTGTTATTGTGTTGAATAAGAAAGATGCCAGATCTACTTTTCTGGAACTTACTCTATCATAGGTCCTAGAAGATGAATTTGGTAGTTCTTTACATGTCTGTAAATTAGATAAATCAGTTATGAAGCCATTACAGAGATATGGATGAGTAATAAGGATGTCTTGAACTAGAGTTTGAGCAGTAAAATGGAAGCAAGGGGGGAAAAAAGAAGGCAAAACCTATAGAATGTGTTGCCTGAGGTGTGTTTAGACTAAGGTAATGGGGGGGGGTTTAAAAAAAAACAAAACAAAAACAAAAACAAAAAAACTTCTAAACTTCTATTCATAACTGCCCTTCCAATCCAAATCCAGGACAGCACACAGTAGATTCTCAACTAACACTGGATGAATGAAGGGCAGGCCTGCTCAAATTCACCAATACACCGAAGAGTGATGAGCCTTCTCTAACTGCAGTGACACCTCTGTTCTCACCTGTCTGCCCTTACACTTGTACCCCCTTACCTGTCCCCGCCTCCTTCTCTCTGGACTCACTCCCTTTCTCTGTCATTCTCTATGCATTCCTTTCACTTTCCTGATCTTCTTGTACAAATCTAGCCCTGCCTGATCATAAAATGGCAGTTTTGGAAGGGACTTAGGAGATCGTCTACTTCACTTCCCTGATGACGAAACATGGTCTAAGGAGTTAAAATGATTTTCTCAGAATTATACAGTGATTTAGTGAGACAGTCATGATTTAGACTTGTGTCTCCACAATTTTAGTCCAGGTGTCACCTCTCCACCACTCAGTACATATTTACTCCAAATGTCACATAACACTTTACGTCACCTCTCCCCAGATCTTCAAGTGAATCCAGTGGAGTTGCAACCAGGTTATTTGGTGGTATTGCATGCTCCCTGGCATGTCACTATGGGGGTCCTGATACTCCCATTGGAGAAACATTGGTTTAATTGATGATTTTCTAAAAATGTCTGCCTGAATCAACCATGAAGCATTGCTGTACAAACTACACCTAGAGATTCTGGATTTTGGATGGGAGTTTGGTTGGAGGCACTTTTACAGAAACTTACAGAAAGAAGACATGGTTTAATGCCAGAGGTCTTATTGTTTGTTTTTTAACTGTCCTCAAAAGTAGAATCTGTTCCATAACACAGTGGGCAAGAACCTTCTTATACTTAAGCAAATGTTAGCAACTCTGCTCACATAATCAGTTACAATTGTTATTATGATTATTTAGAATAATAGTAACTTTTCAGCCCAAATTTCCTAGTCCTTGTGTTAAGCTCTGGAGATGACATAGACAAGCTCCTCTTGCTCTTGAGGAGCTCAGAATTAGTGGGAAGTGATGTATAAATGCGTGTAAGTGTATGTATGTGTATATATGTATGTATACACATATGTATGTATGTTTGCTTGCATGTGTGTGAGAAGAGCTAAGAATAAGTAGGGGACGGAAAGAAACAGAAGATATAGGACAGAGAAGACTTTGATGGAACAGTGACTGGAAGGAACTAAGAAAGGAAATGACCAAGAACATTTGCTCTTAGAAAGACTGAGGGTTTTCCCTGAGACAAATAGTGACAAAAAAGGTGTTTGGTTGTGGATACAGGCACATTTAGAGGTGGAAAAAAAAAAAAAGGTTAAGGGAGTTTGTTACAAAAGGGGGTTATTTTCTATTCAAAGGATATAAGAACATTGGCAGAGTGAGGAAATTTCAAGGGAATAGCTGGGAGATTTGAGGACTGTTGTAGAAAAGCAGTGCCAGGGAATGGGAAATAGATGTGTGTAGGACCCTTGACCACCAGCTAAGGTGATAAACCAAAACTTTTAGTGGTCCCAATGAGCATGACCAGCAGCAGCCTGGAAAATACAAATGGTTATAGTAACCCAATTTCAAAGACTGATAAGGCCATTATGACTGAACATGACCTGGATATTGTATTTATTCTAGAGTCTGATAAATAAATGTGCTAATACATACAATGCCTGGCACATAATTAGAACCCAAATTTATCTTTAAAAAATTGGACATAGGGGCACTTGGGTGGCTCAGATGGTTAAGCGTCTGCCTTCAGCTCAGGTCATGATCCCAGGGCCCTGGGATCCAGCCCTGCATCAGGCTCCCTGCTCAGCGAGGAGTCTGCTTCTCCCTCTCCCTCTGAATCCCTTCCCCTGTTAGTGCTCTCTCTCTCTCAAATGAATAAATAAAAAATCTTTTAAACAATTAATAAAAAATAAAAACATTGGACATAAAATAATTCAAAGTACTGATTGAGAATGGAATTGAGATGTTAGATCATTAGATCTGGGATTATTAGGAAAAAAGTATAAAGAAGCTATTTTATAGAAGAAAGCAGGAAGCACTGAGAATGTAGAATTGTATTTTTTTTCTTGTTAATTATGTTTGAAAACAGGTTTAGGAGGAGTAATCAGGAAGTAGAGGATATAATGATCAGATGAAACTTTCAACCCTAAAATTTCAGACAGGATGATAAGATCCAGGATGTAAGTGTGGGAGTTGGTTATGGAGGAAGAATATTTATGAAGGTAACTAGAATTGAAAAGGTTAACCTTTTATATAGGCTGAGTGACCTGGAAGTTGAAATTGCCCAGGACTTAGGATCCAGAAAAAAAACCATTGGAAGGATAAGAACCCAGATGTGTGGCCTTAAAAAGAAGAAAATTAAAAAAAAAATTTTTTTAATTTCTATTTTTTTAAGTAATCTCTACACTTAATGTGGGGCTTGAATTTACAGCACTGAGATCAAGAGTCACATACTCTACAGACTGAGCCAGCCAGGCGCCCCCAAAAGAAGAAACTTTTAAATAACTCTATAAAAATAAAATTCTGAATGAGGCATAGAGTAGCCAGAAAGACAATGACCCTATTATTTAACATTGAAAATCTGAAGACTTTATAAAGAACAAACGGCCACTTAAGCAGAAGCATCGTAAATAGGAGAAATTCAGATTTCAGTTAAGGGAATGATTTCTTACAAAAACCGTTATTGACAAGACTCTTGTTTTGACTATGAATTCTAGATTGTACAGTAGAAACAGTGAGGAGAAGGGAAATGGTCCAGGGAATGGGGGAAAGCTAATTTGGGTGGAAAAGATACTTTGGAAGATGATAGGTGACCAGAAGAATCCTTATGTAGTTCTTGTGAACCTTTAGAAATAAAGAAAGTAGATAATAATGCTCTTCTAATGAAACTAACTTTCCCCTATGTCTCTTTAGGACTGTAATCAAAGTAATTTGATTGCCTAGAGGGCATGAAAACTTGATGGCTAAGCTCATGGGCAGAAAAACTTTACCTCCTACAACATTACCTCCTACAACATATACTGATCTTCTTTCAATGTATGAATAGTACTGGACCTGGAAACAAATGTTATTCAGCAGGAATTCCCAGTTCTTCTATATTTGGATAGTAAAACAATCCTTATACACCCCATCTACTAAAGAAATCACTTACCTCCAGAGACACATTCTGGGGTGAAAGTGATGTCATCAAGGGCAATAAAGATTTCCTCATTTCCAGCCAAATCAGCTTCAAATGCCACTTTAAATGCACTGTAACTGGAGAGAGGGACATGCCCATACATCCAACCAGTTCTTTTGCTTCCAATCACTGACCACACGAGGATGTTTAGTCCAGATTCCTCAATGGTATATACCTAATAATGGGGGCAAAAAAAGAAAAAGCAACTCTTTATGGTTTGGATGTTAGAGATATATGGACGTCCTGGTTGTTAACAGAAGAATGGAGTCTGGCAATGGGACAGCACGACACCTTGACTATAATACTTTCTATCTCACAAACTGGGGTTACAGAGCGAGTTATATTTTCTTTAAGTAGTCAGACCTTTGTTTGGTTTTGTCATGTCAATTTCCGTGTATCACAGTGGGCATGGCCAAAACCTGTAACTATCTTAAGAATCTAAAAGAGCTGGAAGGAGCTATAAAACTAGAATTTCTCATTGCTAAAGGACTTTGTCCATGTTTCCCCAAGGTTGTTTTAAAAGAAGAGAACACTTATCTTAAGTGAACATGATCATATACAAGTCATTTCAGAAGCCAAAGTAATGTGCATAACATATTTAGTATTTTGACAAACAGAGAATCTTCCTGAATTAACTAACTAACATCAATACCCAGGACTTTTTAAATGCAAGGACTAACAGACTGATCACATAAAAAGTGAAATAGCAATAAAGTTAGCTTTGAAACCAACCACCAGGCCAAGTTCCAATAATCTTTTTGAACAGTTAAAAACAATACAAAACAAAAAATGCCATTTCCTAGTGCTCTTCAAAAACAACAACAAAAACAGGCAAGGCAGTAAACATATTTTTCTATACTACCTTTCTGTACCTAACTTTCAGTTATCATTTCCCTAGAAATGATAATTATATTTTATATATATATGTATATATATATATATAAATGCATGTTAGCAATCACTTACACAACTCTTTCTTTTACATGGGAAAAAATATGACTTAGAAAAAAGAAAACACATAATAATAATTTTCTTCTATTGCAACAGTGTTTTTGTCCAATAATATTGCTCCCTACTAAAAAAATCCTACATCTCACTTTTTTTTCTTAGTATCAAAATTTATCTAAAGATAATTTATCCTACAAGAGTTTATCTAAATTTTATACTATCAGGAGAAAATAACACCACTCATTCTGTTGCATGTAATGATACGATATTGTATGGCATTCCAGAAATACTCCCAAGAGCCACCAAATTATCTAGAGCCAGAAATTAGCATGCTGCTAATGTTACTATTACAAAAAGTCTAAGTCAGAAATCCAGCTATTAATGGAAGTTAAAAAAAATTTAAAAAACCATCAAGATGATCATACAGAAAGAAAAATAGAAAAACTTGCCCCAAATTTGGAAACCTGAAAAGTGAGATTTAACATCAACAGTATGGAAAAGCACACATTTCCTAAGCAAAAAGCAGTTTTTATATTGATTCCTCAATAAATGAAATAAACTAAAAGTCAGTATGAAGGGAATCTGGGTCAACCGAGTGTTTCCAGTCTCACACATAAGCAAACACTCATCCCAAAGCTCTAAGATCTGGTCGGTACCTATTTCTCAAATAAACACAAATTTCCTCCATTTTAAAAAAATTAAAAAGGTAAGAAGGTTCCAATTCAATATGATAACAGGACAACTTTATAAAGTCAACCTAAGTTGAATTATCTTTTTTTTTCTTCATAAATCCTGAGTTACAACATAAAGATTTAAAAGGGGATGGCTTTATTTTATTTTATAACTCTTTTTCTGGAAAAAACAATTCAGAAAACCAAATTACATGAAAACACAACCCAACATGTTTTGCTTTTTTCAAAACCCTAGTATAAATGTATTTTATTAATATATCTATTTTTATTGTTTTTCATTTCATTTTTCTTTCAGTCATCTTAATCTTCAATTAATCGTACATGCTCTTGCCAAATTCCATTTCCCTCATTCTTTTACTCTGCTTCTCCTAAATCCACCATGACATCCCCTGCTTGTTCTCCCACCCCCGTGCCCCATCATGAGCATTAACTCTCTAATAGACTTCAACCAATGGTACCCAATATTTTACCCTACTATAGTCCTTATTCATTCTGATAAACTTCACTATTTCACTACTTAATTCCAATGAAACTTTCTGACAATCTCATGGATTGTTTCAATTGTAACATGTATTTATAATACTCCCAATGCATTAAACTGAATAATTGCATGCTATGTCCAGTGTTTCTGTAGCCATAATGGCCAATGGTAAAAATAGGAGGATCATTTAAGGGCTCCATATAATGCTGGGGTTTTTTTTATGGCAAATGAGAAACCTAAAAAAGGCTAATATTATTTATTTTTGTCTTTCAATGAAAACAATATTCATTGTCTTCAGAGAAATTTTTGTGATAATTGTCAGCAAAATATTTTTCCTTTTTTATTATTATTTTCCAAAAATCTATTACTTTGAAAAAGTAAAATGGCTAATAACCTTGAAAAATAATTTTAGTTTAATTTGTTCCTAATTTTATATTTTATTACACACATTTTACTGAAAACTAATTTATGTTACAATAATAACTTCTTATTTGAAATAGCTTCTAAAATCAGCTGCTGGACAAATTGGTTACTTCTGATCTTCTAAATTTTGGTCAGACATATAGCCATTAATATAATAATAGTCAATATTATATATTATAAAACAATCATTTTATCATGACTTTTATCATAAAACAATATGGATTCAAAGAACATATAAATAAAAATATTATGTTTAGATATTAAATCAATATTATATTATATTCAAGGATGATACTATAATTGTAACTGCTTATGATATAGGGTAGGGAAAACTTGAAGAAAACTTCATAGATAGAATAAAATGATATGTCATTTAAATACAAATATTATAATAACATTCAATTAAATATATGTTAAGTTTTTTTGAGGAGGAAACTCCTCAACATTTATTTGGAGTGAGCATACCTTTGAAAGAAAACATTCAACAAAAGATATGATGAGATAATAGAAAATATGAGTTAATGATTAAATTACAGAATAGTATGGAAACCAGACAGCAGCTATCTCAACAATACCCAAGTATGCAGGTTTTCCTGGTGAAGAACTAAAAGAACCCGATTAGTACATTTTCCTGAAATGCCTCTCCTGCAGCGAGTCACAATCTCCAAGTGCCTACAACATGGAAGGTAGGCTGGCACTGACTTAGAGTCTCCTAATGGACACTTCCAGATATCAGAAACACTTTATCCATTTCACTATTATTTAGCTTATTGAAATTTGTGCATGCAATGCAGTGCCAAGACAAAACCTTGGCTTTACTTGGTCCCAGTTACTCTCAGCTATTCTGCTAGATGTCTGTTCTTTAATCACCACTGATAGGGTAAAGCAATGAACCGAGCTATACTTAATCCTTGTCAGTGTACAGTTTCTCATGGCTTCATTTGAAAACACTCAAATTTATATAATAGAAGAAAGAAAAAAATCAAAAGTAATGAAAAGGGCAATTTCTTTCAAAAAGAAGAGTTTATAGGCATTAAACTTATTTAATAAAAGAGAAATAACATTATCCATATATTTGAAAATTTAGCACACTCACATATGTTACATGAACCCTACCGCATGTGTGAATGTAGGGTAGGACTACTGACTGCCCTCTACAAATCTGGAATTAGAGTTGTAGAGAGAAATTAAACAATCCATTACTTATACACAGCACAGGCTTCCAGTCCTCGATATGGCATATAAAAGAGATTAGAAATCGTCCTACTGGTCCTAACAACAAGAAAAAAGCTGAGTTGAAAATCAATAACTCTTCTTAGATCCATCAGACAATTGATGTCACAGAACCATCAGGACCACTGCCTCCAAAATTGAGGAGAATAATAGGTGGACACAAAGAATCACAGCTTACTGGGGCAGAAGCCCAAGGACAGAAATTCCTGTAGGAACCAGTAGCAGGGTAGAAAAACCTGGAATGAAACTGATGAAAGGCTGAAGGCCCACTGTAGACAAGTTTCAATGTTAAACATCCTTGAGGGGACTCTACACTTTTGTGAGTTTGACCTCTCAGAGCCCCACCAGTTTCTCGTGTTGAAAATTAGACAAAAATTCCCTCAAAATTTTGGCAAATAAAGGGAAAAGTAGCCATTTTGAAATATACCCAAAGCATTCTGTTCTTCTTAGCAAGACCTGCCCTCAAAACAAACTATTTAAAGAGACTGTAACTGACTGGGGTTTAACAAAACTAGAGAAAGGAAAATACCTAACTCCAGCTCCTAGTAGCATTCAAGGTGGGGAAAGGGAAAGAAGCAATTCCAGCAACTTCTAGCCTTCCTGTCTTACCTCAGGAGTGGAAAGATAAACAAACAAACAAGAAAACAAACAGACAAAAAACCCCAAAAAACCTGAGAGGTAATTATGAAGGATACAACCCAGTGGCACTAAAAGACTCACTGAGACCTAATCATAGGCCCCACAACTTACCAGCACATGAGTAGGACTTCTGTGTATGAACAGGGGAATACAAGGAAATAATAGCACATTGCAGGCCTTATTTAGAAATAAATCTCTCTGGAAACCCAAAGGTAACAGTGAAGACAAAAATAAGGACAACAGGGAAATTATAACTGATATCTACAGTTACAGCAAAGAGTAAACATATCCTAACCTTTAGCCAGATACATATAAAACCTCACACTAAAGGCCTAATTCCTTTCACCCAGTACATCACGTCAGTCTGTCAAAAAAGACAAAAAACACAATTTGAAGAGACACAGCAAGCATCAGAACCTGGTTTAGATATGGTAGAAATGTTGGAATTATCAAGAAGGGAATTAATATAGGTATAATTAATAAGGTAAGGGCTCTAATGGAAAAAGTAGACAGTATGCAAGAAAAGATGGACAGTATAAACAGAGAGATGGAAACTAAGAAATAATCAAAAGGAAATGCTAGAAATAAATAAAAACACTCTAACAGAAATGAAACACACCTTTGATGGGCTCATCAACAGACTGGACACAGGTGAGGAAAGAATGAGTGAGCTTGAAGATATGTCAATAGAAACTACTAAATCTTAAATGCAAAGAAAAAAAAAAAGACTGGAAAAAATGGAACAGAATGTCCAAGAAC